ATTCATGTTGTTGATGACCTGTACCATATTTGCACATTCAAGATTCAGGTTGTTGTTGCCTCCTAGAGGATCATAAGCTTCTACCTACGACGCCTTATTTACTCGGACTGCTTGCTTTCTAACCGATTGACCTGCAGACTGTGTATGCCTCTGCACGCATACTGAGTTTAACTCTTCCGGGAATGCTGTTAAAACCTAGTCTAGGCTTCGGTCTGGTTTATAAAGCTCATATGGGCGATGCGGTACAGTACGATTTATTGTCAAAGCATATCTCCTCTGCAATTATACCATAGCTCGCTCAAATACTGGTAAACTGATGGCTATGTATCGTTGCGTTAACCGATGTTCCTTGATAGTTTCTTAGAAAGTCATTAATATCGCTTCACATTATCACCACTTTAATGCGTCTTGTTGGGGGCAATGCCTATACCTTAAAGGATAATAATTTGCAGCCAAATTCATTCATGCCCTGTAGGTGATATCATTTTAACTATCGATCGTGCCTTCTCAATCGATTTATTTAATTACTTTTCCAAGCAGCGTCTTTAATATTTATTTTTTATTAGATTAGGTCTCCCCTTTTTCTTTCCTAATTTGCATACATTGGTCTATTTTATGCCTTATCGTCTTCGCCGTGAATGACACAACTAGGTTAATTTGGCAGAGTATTTTCTATAAAATTTTAACCTCTATTTAGACATAAAACGATTATCGCTTAACAACCAAAATGATGCCGCCTCATTGAGAAGCACGCATTTCTGTCTGCCCTCTATTATGTTCCTTCTTTTCTGATCAGTCTCACATGGCCAAACCTCAGGCTGACCCTCGCCATGTGAACTCCGGCCGTTACATTCCGGCTCCACTGCAAGCCATTCAGTCGCGCTCGGTCACTGATCTGTGCGACCAGCCAGCAAGTCAACGCAGCTTTCGGGGCCCGACTTGTGGGAGGGTGGCGGCATCAGGAAGCTCCCGGTCTCGCCGGAATCCAGACTTTACAGCCAATAACCTCAGTCCCTCGGGCCGGCTGAACCGTTCGCTGGTGAGCCTTCCTGGCCACCAGATAAGCCCGAGCCCTTCTCGAGCCTGGGTACATTCCGTCGATGCAGATGACGTAAACATGCCACCACAACGCTTGGAGGACAGAGGGGGCAATTTGCAAGTGGACACAGCACATTCCCACTCTTGCTATTCTCTTCCCAGTTCCGGTCTTGACCCAGAGTCTCGTAGTTGCCGCTTGGCTCGCATGAGATCGCAAACCCTCCTGCTGCCCAGGCCAGAAGCCTCCTGTCGTCGATCCGTCCAACAGGAGCTCGAGTCAAACGCAGCCAACCTCGCTGGATCGAATAGTGAATCAGCACATTTGCTCTCGCGACCAGTCGTCATGGTGCTGTCACCGCCAGGTGGCCTTGAGGAACCAGGCCCTCCTCCACCTATGCGACCACCACCACCGCCTGGGCCTGTTCCCGCTGTTCGCTGCAAAGCGGCTGTTCTCCCAACTCCAGAAGTCTTAGCCAGTCTGGATTCTAAGGCGATCGAAGTAAAAATGATGTGACTTGTGTCATTTTTATGCATTATCTTTAGATATACATATTAATTTTGCCCGTTTTGTTCTGATTATAAAATCTGACTTTGATTGACCACAAGCTAACCTATTTGGATTTTTATTTGCTTGTCAATACATTACTATCGTTGAGACAGTTTCGGTTTCAAACGCTTATCCTTTACAGCTTCCTTGCTCACTTTTTGATTGGTTCGAACTAGGACGTTCCTACGATTTCCCTTTATTTCCTGGTCTATTCCAATGTTTTTCCCTTATCTTATTTATCTACTACTCTTGCCTTTATTGC